ATGCTGGCCCATGACTGGCCGGGAAAGCGACGCAGAAGCCACTTATTCAGAAACTGCATGACAGTGACCCTGCGCTTGGATGCCTGGGAGAGGCCAACAGAACCCCTATAACCAAAAGCACCCACCACGAAGTAGTGGACGAGATCAGCACTCTGAAGCACCGATCCGCGTCTATTCGAGGTTGGCTTGGAAAAAGACAACGCAAGCAACTCATGACAGGAAGAAGCTGACCAATCACTCCTGGCAAGCAGAGCTGCTGCGAAGGCCTCGGGATCAGTGTATTGGGAGGCTGTCGCCTCCTGAGGCACACGCGACTGACTCAGAAGTGGCCCTGATACACTGAGCTGGGCCCTCTCCCAAGGCCTGAGAAGAGGGTTCCCTGTTTCAGGAAGTGGGATGGTTCTGACGATTGTGCGACTTGCTGAGGCATGCGGATCCGTTTGGGAGCCTGACATCACATGCATGCAAAGAATCGCAGCTGCTGTTTTGACATCCCCTGCTGTCGTTCCAGGCCTTGCAGAGTTTGCGACCGCCCTTTGCCATCGACACTGTCTGGAGCCTGGGCCCTCTGGGCGGCAGGGGAGTCGGGATGGTTTCTTCAAGCGGCCTTTTTGTTCCGGTCTAGCTTGGGGCCACCGGGATTTGCAGCGTGTCAAAAGGTCGTTCCGCTGCAGCCACGCAAGCGAACTGCTGCCGTAAGAAGAGCAATGACGAAGTGCCATGTCACAGTAATCCAGCGCCACGTGGAGTGGCATGACGAGCTTGTCCTTCCCATCGAGGCAGCGTTGCTTGAAGTTGCCGCACCATGCCCATGCGTAGCAAAGAGTCCTCAAACGCAGGTAATACTCGATGACATTCTTGGGAGCTGCGTGGCCTTCTTTGGCGAACTGAAGAGTGACCCCACCTTCCAGCGAAATCCTTTCCTCCTCAAGGGGAGCGGACCCCCCGATCACCGACTTGACCTTTCCGAAGTTCCAGGAGCGTCAACGTTCTCCGGCGAAGCTCTCTCCAGATTCTCCCTCGTAAGGAGTCGCAGGGATCAAGGTGTGCCTCAATCGGGAGGTTGTATGAACGCTTCCACTCCTGATCAAGCTGCTGGAAGAAGTTATCGGGGATGGGCTGGTCCAAATCTGAGCTATCTTGCTTCTCGACGGCCTGGGCGTTGTGAACAGCTGCAAAACCGGCCTCGTATGCAGCCTTCAAGCGGGCCAAAGCCAGCCTGTCGCCGCGCAGCTCCGGGACCGCCTCCGCAAGCTCCTTCAAGGACGTTTCCCAGGAGGCCCGCTCTACAACATAGACGAAATCCTCGAGTGATTCAAGTTTGTGCTTCTGAATGAAGAGGGCCGCATTTGCATCGGAAAGCCTGGCCATCCTGAGGCAGGAAGCATGGCCGTGTCGGGGGCCGTGACATCAATGGCAGCTGCACCTGCCATGGCAAGGGACCTGCTGATTGCAACGAGTTCGGGCAAAAACAAAACCCCTCGGCACACTGGTCATCCTCAGAGCAGGAACTCAAGCAATGACACGTTTTGCTGAATTTTATGGCGCACAGCAGTGAAGCTTCATAGCAAGACGACCCGTAACTGCAACTGCCTGGCAGCGGGGTGCCGAGTCACTCAGTCCAAGGACTCGAGAAACAAAGGCTTCACAGCTGGAATTTGCCCCTCACTGACTCGAATAACCTGCAGTGGCCGCTGATGCTGAAGGGTGGGAGGCTGAAGAAGAGGCCTCCCGACACACTGTGCAGACATGTTCCGCAGCCGCCCGATTGTGACCAAAGTCGGCACGAGATGGGAGCGGCTGAGAGCACGCGAAGCCACATCCTCGAATGCACGGCTCCTTGCACCAACCGGAGATCTGGAAACCTCTGGCGTGAAGACGCTCTGGCAACTCCCACGACAACGGCTTGCGCCAAGGCCACTGTGGCATAGATGACACCTGTGTGTCTTGTGGGGCCGCGACTTCTGCGCAGCCATTGGCCGACCGCAAGCGAAGCCGCACATCCCCGAGCAATGCATCGTACAGTGTCCGCCAAAAGTGTAGCCCCGCATCCGAAGCTTACGAGGGAGTCGCCACTCCAGTGGCCGGCGACAGGGCAGCAGCTGAGGGGCCTGCGGAGCCCGCCTGCAGCCAACTGGCCATCGAATGTGCCCTGGATCACAAGGAAGTTGCTAGCACTCGAGCAGAGCAAATACTGAGAGACCGCACAAATGCAACTGCAAAGAGTATGCACGTGGAGTCACAACTTGCAGGCGCCTCGCTTGTTTTCAAGCCCGGGGTCCCCTAGCCTATTGCTGCGACGCCAGAAGCGATTTGCTTAAGCCACTCGGAACAGAACGCAGGCATGTCTGGCAAATGTGTCCCATGCCTGAAGAAACTCCCTGGCCTCGAGCAGACGGATCCTGAGGAAAGGCCTTGGTCCTGCACCAAGGAACTGGCCGGGAATCAAGGTCCTGTTCCCGCACAATGTGAATCTTCTGCCGCTGCTGGATCCAAGTGACTTCCTGAAGGAGGCTATTCTGACCTGAATCAGCAGAAGAGGTGCTTTGGCTCTCGTCTGAAGAAGACGAAGAGTCCTGTGATTCTGAGGCGCGTTGCTGCGATTGCCCCTCTTCATGTCTCACAAGTGGAAGGGGACCTAGACTTAGAACCCGAAAAACCCAGGCCACCTAAGGGAGTCGGGGGGTAAGGCGTTCCGTGACATCTGCATTGCAACAGGATGCTGGAGAACGGCCTGCACCACGTATGACTTGGCTCGCATGCTTGCCAGGACGCGTTCGCCCGAGTAATGAGTCGACATAAGATCCTGTCGACTGGCCTGTGACTTCGAATCTGAGCTGGCCCCTGGCATTTCGACCCATGAACCAATGGCCTGACCGTCCTGAGGATGCATATTCAGCACTTGGGCGCCAGTGGGCAGAAAGCGTCGAAATTTATTACATTTGGTGGCAGCAGCCGCAGACGACTCGACACCACACTGGGAAATGATGCCCCTGGCGATCTCCAGGAAACGACTTTCGAGGCGAAAAGCTGTTGCTTCAGACACTTGCCACAAATCGTCTCTGGACAGATCCACTGCTGGCCACAAGAAGAGCCGCCCTGGCAACGCTTCCTCTAAGAAAACTGTCGAAGCTCAGCCACTAAGTTAATCCCCAAGAAGGTAAGAGGCGGAGTGGCCCAATTATATGCAGGCTTGGCACCTTTGCGGCGGGACTTACCCTGTAAACAATGGAATTCGAGCCAGGACCCATGGTCCCTGACAAGCTTGGACCTTTGCACATGCTCGAAGCGGATGCATGACACGGCCGCCTGGATGACGAACAGTGCCAACATCCTAGGAGTTCCTGTCAAGGATGCTGTCAGCAGCAGAATGTTCAAGAACTCCCACGGCTGAAGTTCCTCAGCCTGCTTGGCTGTGTGATTAGGGGCGTGGAATCTGTAGGGCTTGACCAGAAAGCTCGACAAAGGAAACAGTCCCCCAAGTTATCATTCACCCAGCGCAAAGCGGAGAACACTGAAGCCGCAGCGGTTGGACCTCCTTTGGACACGGACTTAAGAAAGGCCGCAATCTTGCTAGGCTCCAAACCGCGCACATCCCAGGCAGAGCTAACTGCAAAAGACTTCCATCTGCGAAGCGTAGCGATAATTGCGGAGAGCCTCTTACTAGACAAGCGCTGGGCCGAGGTCATCGCAAGATCGGACGCTCGAGACACAGCATCCTCATCTGTAAAATCCAGGTTGGCCGCTCCAACATCAGCTGGATCCAAGAAGATCTCGCATGCAATGCAGAAAAGAACCTTGATCTTCCAGGCTTGCTGAGAATCCGCTGATGCAGCCGCATGTGGCAATGGTTCAGAAGATGTAGCCACCGGGACCTCGGGTGCACTTTGTCTATGTAGCAGCAACATCTTTGGTTTGTGTCCAGCAGGAGGCGGAGCAATGCGGGGTGTGATCCGCCTGGTGGTCTCTGTGCAGAATCTGGACTGGCGCTCCAAGTCCAAATCAAGAACACGCTTGCGAGCTGTTACCGCAGACCGTCGGAGCGCCTCAGCATAAGGAGATGCCACCTCGAGAGAAGAGTCTGCATCCTCTGCAGAGCCTGGTCCCCTGGCCCACTCAGCTTCCATCTCGGCTGCACTAGACCACATATGTCGAATGTCCAGACATGTCTCAACACGCAGCTCTGCAATCCATCTCTGAACAGCTTATTGCTCAAGAGATCACGGAGCTCCACATCCATGGCTCGCTGCACGCAGATGCTGCTCCGCTTGAGACAGCGATGCCACGGCAGGAGCTCACAAATGCTGAAAGCCCTCAGAAACGAAAGTTTCAATGAATCGAAGGAGAAGACAGCACGACTTCCAGACCTTAGTGGGCCCTACCCAACCAACCATACAACTAATGATCACACAATGTCGCAGTGTCACAGGCTCTACGAGATCGCTGAGCTGTTTGATTCAAGTGCCCAACCGTTTCCCGTCTTTGTAGGAACGGAGAGAGTCGGCTGAAGTTGTTTCTGCTATCCAATCCCCTTCTACCCTGTGCAGTGTCAACTGCCGACTGCACAAGACGAATGCCAGCCTCCTCGTGTGCAATAGACACCCAGAGCCTCAATAGCTGGTTCCAACACTTCTCCATGTAGTGGTCGACACACGACGTGTATCGAAGGCAAGGTCGGCACCACCAGTACCACAGCCATGACGGCGATGCTTGAGGAGGAAACCTGAAGCATCTCTGAGACCACGCGTAGCGCCAACATGTGCTCTCTGTCTCAAGTGCCCTGTCTGGCTGCAGTGTCCAAGCTTACTTGCAGTAGGGGCTGCACGACACCACGGTCCGGTTCGCCACCAGACTTGACAGTGATTTGTGCAGAGCCTCAGCCACATCAACAAGCCCGATCAAAACTGCAGCATGAGAGCTTCTCTTGTTTGGAGGACTGCTACACTCAGCAAGATGCCATCATCAAGTCCGAAAATGGCACACCTCGGAACAAGTCTAGACTAGACAATACAACATGCAGCAGAAATTTTGCAAGGAGCGAACCAAACATCTCCTTGATCTTGAGCATCTATCCTCACACCTCCATCAACCTCATTGAATGAAAGAGTCACATGGAGCGATAAGACGTCGTAAGACGTCATGAGTTGCTTGGCCTGGACAGGTGCTTGGTCAAAGTCGAAGAGGGTCTTCGGCGAAGCTTTCGAGGAGGCCAGCACTGGCACAAAGAAGCGAGACGCAAATGCCCTGACTTAGAGTAGTAGCTTTGCGCTCCCGGCCATGGGTGATCGAAGACCCTGAGACGAAGTCCAGCTGCATTTTCTGAAGGTGGTGAATGTTCCGTAGGTGGAGCAGTGTCATGCGATCCTTGAAGGTACGCACCTGCATGGAAAGAAACAGCACAGCTGTGAGATCCCGTACTGAAGCTGCGGCCTGCAAGTTTGCAACAGTTGATTGGCGGATGTCCATCGTGTACATGAACTGTTCCCCACTCGGATATTCCTCTCGTGATGGCGCGACTGCAAATTACAAGTTAGCACAAAAAACTACCTGTCACTCCATCTCTCCTGGCTGTGGGTCATTTCCACGCTTCTCAAGTCCTGGAACGGATTGTACAGCCGAGCTGTCCTCTCAAGAGAATGCGACAAGGGAAGCACTTTGACAACATGGTCCAGCAAGCTGAGACCGTCGCCAGCTTTCATCGCTACTTGTGTAGCTCGCATCTTCCACGAGCGAAATGTCCGCTGATGCAGAAATGTCACCCCTGCATGCAACACGAAAGGAGTGTCGAGAGCTGTGCGCTTAGAATGCGTCACCGGTGGGATTCGAATGCAATACACTAATGCTGCTCAGAGCTGCCGGGCATGTCAACAGAAATGATGAATAAAAAGGACGTCGAAACACCGCAAGTCCATGGCAAGTCCACGAAATGCCCATCATGCTGGTCATGTTGCTCAATTCCGGAAACATGCACACGGCACGGGTTTTCAGTCTTGGCAGGCATGCTTACGCTGTTGCAATCTCGGAGCGTCTGTGGTTACTACAATCGCAACAGATGCTCGGAAGGGTGGGCGCGGAGACAGCCAGGTGCATTCTGGCTGCAAACAACTTTGCCCAGAGGTACGCTCCGGCTGGACATATGACAAGAGTTTGCAGACGAACACCACCGGCACAGAGCGAACTGGCAATGGAACTTCGATCGGCCAAAGGCCACGGTGGCAGGGCAGCCGACTTCACTTGCTTCTCTTACAAAGGCACCTCAGCGCCTGAAAATCATGCATCACAACGAACCATCCAGCCTTGCTCGAGACAGGCAGACCGGAGGGCCTCTCGGTTCTGGACTGCCAGCTTCGCTCCCAACAAAATTCGATTGCTAGCAACGAACTCAGGAAGGGCAACAGAAGGCAACGGAGCTAAATACATGTGCCCCAGGGGGGGGGGGGACGAAAGCTCGCTGCTGGATGGCCAAGGCGCAGGCCCCCTGCCAACTTACTGACCTGCCTAGCGGCACAAATCAACCGTGGCGCAAATCAGCCATACACCAGCTACCTACTTACTGACTGCCTACGTACTTACCTGCCTAGCGGCGCAGGTCAGCCGTGACCTATCTACTTTCTCACTGCCTACGTACTTACCTGCCTAGCGGCGCAAATCAGCCCTGTCCTACCTACCTACCGACGTACCTACTTGTCCGAAGCTTACCTGCCTGGTAACTCAGCCGTGCCCTACCTACTGACTCACTGCCTACGCACTTACCTGCCTAGCAGCGCAAATCAGCCATGCCCTGCCTAACTACGGACGTACCTACTTATCTGAAGCTTCGGCGCAAGTCAGCCGTGCCCAATCTACCTGCCTGCTGGACCTATCGCTGCCGAGTCAGAATGATGGAACACCGTCTGCACAGCCCCTTGCCCCCCCCGGCCCCCTCCCTGAGAGAGCATCATGAGCATCATGGGGGGCCTGTTTCTCCAAATAGACCCCTCCCCGAATCTTCCAAAACCTTCCCGAAATCACCCAAAAAAGGGTCCAGCCAATCCGGCCAAGGCATGGGGCTTCCCTCCAAAAAACAGGGCCGAGTGGCATGGTTTTGGGCCCCTTCCACTTCCCAGACCCCTGTTGCTCTTCATGCAGCAAAGCTGGGTATTAAACGCAAACAAAGGTTGTGCGGTTGTTCTCAGAGGAGGTGTGGGGATTTGGCGGCTGGAGTAGTAGCAGGGCCTGTTGCGTTGCACCGATCGTAAACGAACAGACTTTTCGGTGGACGGAGACTTCCCTTGAAATACCAGCCCGAAACTCGAAAAAGGCGACTGCAGCGGCGACGCACGAGAGTCGAATCCACGCGCACTGGAAGCAGCTACCGGCAGTCCAACCCTGAAAGCATCTGAAAGCACGGGCAGCAATCTCGACGACAACAAAGACCCTTGAACGAGCTTGAGGGTGCGTCTTCTCCCGAACCCACTGATGCGATGCGAACGAGAACTGCGAACGAAGGCCTTCGTATGTCTCGGAGCGGGCTGTGCATGCTGACAGTGGAAACAGCCTGGAGCATTCCACTGCTCCGGCTTTGTGCTTCGGTGTTGGCTGTCTTGGCATAGGCGCAAGCCACGGCTAGAGGTGCAGAGTCTGCCACTGTGATGCTTCGCACCGTATATAATTTTCTCTTGACAGGCAGCTGCAATGCTTGGTGTGTTGAAGGGCAGCAAACGCAAAAACCAATGCAAGGATTCTGTACGCCCGCGGTGGGAAAACCGTGTCCATAGAGGCACGTGGACTACAAACCCGCCAGAGAGTAACAGAGAACGGAAAGGACACAATTTGGAAAGAACTGCCTGACGATCTTGTGCCGGCGATGATGCAACACTCCCACAAACACGTAGCGCGTCTCCTGCAGTGCATCTAGACATGTCACCAAGGCACAACGGAGCAAGATTTGGAGAGTCGGGCGGTCCGAAGCACCGTTGTACATGCACTTTGCTGTCAGCGGCAAACAGCCCGAGCAGCAGCTGCAGACTCAGAGAACAGGTCATGTGAAACTTGGAGAACTCGGCAAACTTCCAGAGGCTAAGCTAGCTGCGCTTGCACCTTTCATCCGTGCCGCCCAGACTGGGCGGCACGGTCAGACAGCTCATGCAGCTGCCGCAGCCGACCTCGTGAGTGAAGATGGAAAACCCCCCCAACAGATGCTGCAAACACGACTGCCTCGCATTCTTGCGCTTCTGGGCCAGAGCAACCTGTCGAAGGCAGAAACAACTGTTCTGCACCAGACGATCATTGGCAACGAAGCTGCGAGGATGTGGCTGATGTCACTGGCACAAGCTGCCAAGGTCCGGCTACACCTCAAGCACTGTGGCAGTGCACAGGGAGCACAATGCGTCGTTGAATGTCCCGGGCTCCAAACGCCGGCTGTGAGCAATCTTGGCAAGATGAACCACAGGACTGTTTGTCCTCGCTCCCGGCCTGCAGACACACGTGTGGTAGCCTGAACTGCTATTCCAGCCAGGGTCATTCCCTCAGCTCGCCACGCATTGTAGACATTTCATACAAACATCCTGCTGTGTTCAATACGCATCTGGTCGTGTGGCAGAAACAGAACACTAGGTCTCGAAGCTTCCTCGCAATGGAGGAAGTGCGGAGTAGAGCAAGACGGATGAGATAGCTTGGGAGCTTGCGGACAGCTCTCCTTGGACCAACAGCTCAGGCAAGGCAAGGCAAGGCAAGGCACGCCCACGCCCACGGCCACGTCGCCAGCTCCCCGGCCTCGGCCTGGAGTCTGCGAGGCGCCTGCCCAGCCTGCTCTGCAGCTCTGCAGCGGCTGGAAACCAAGTCTTTCTGTGCGTTGCATTGGAGCTGCCTCGGGCGCCATTCCAGCACCGGCAGGTGGTCCACCGAGATCCAATGGCTCTTGGCTGTCGAAAGCAGGTCGGCCTGCTTCCAAAACACTGAGATAGGACCTATTTGCCGCAGGGAACGCTGTTGTGCCTTCACTGCCTGGACCTCCAATCCCACCCAGCGCCTCGACCTGAGGAACGCGCACGGTCCGTGGCCTGCAGCTAGCTTGTTAACAATCTTCGCGCCTTGAACTTCAAGACTGTACGCGATCCTCAGCACAATCGCACTACGCTCCGTTCAGCATGGGCCTGCTGCCTCCATTTGCCTGATGACACGCCAGAGATCGTAGCTTCTCGTGCTATCAAGGGCCCATGCTCTAACATCCGAACACGCATTGAAATTGTGTCGAACAGCGAACAGACGGACATCGGAGACTTTCCAAACACGACTCCCCCACTATATAGACGCCAATGCTTAATGCGTAAACGATACATGAGCAAGTTGAAAAGCTGTGGCTGAATTGCACAGCCAGTTTGCAAAAGCAATCGGGAAAAGCGATGCACTCAAGCCCATCGCAGACACAAACCGACTTATGTAACCATGACGCGGCAGTGTCCGTCGCAGATTCTGCTAGCTTATCAGGTGCGCTTGAAGGTGTGTGATCTTGGTCCCTCGCGTTCACATTGTAAGCCATGTGCATTCATCAGCGATGAGCCCATCGCAACATGTGCAGGAAGACGATGGTCTGTTTCTGACATCTGATTATCGCTTGCAAGGCCAAATTCGGCACCTTTCCGTGAAATGAGCAAGAGCCAAGGTCCCACTGGTCTGGGGACTGCATGATCTAATCTTAGCATCGTAGCAATGCGCATGACTTCAACGGACTCCCTCACAGGATTGCCCAGTCGGATTGCCAGCAAAGAGTCTGCGATTGATCCAATCGTCAAAGTTGCTCAGATCGTATCTGCCAGGACAGTCTGCAAGCTTGGGGTCTTGGAAAAGTGAACAACTCTACCATGCCAGGACTTCGATGCTTTCGTTGGCAAGTCATCGTATCTGACAAGAACAACCAGTGGAGCCGATCCAGAGACGTCAACCTCTCAGCAGCTCAACATCATACTGGCTTCCTGGTGCACACCTTGCGTGCCTCGACATAGCCTCCTGGGAAATGCGGCGGTACGTGCACCTCAGAAGTCGGAATAGGTTGGCTGTGGGCCTCGACCAGCTACCACGGCACCCGGAAGTACTGGTAGTGCCCAGGCGACACCTTATATATACAGGGGACACGCAGATCAGTCTCCATTCTTGATGTGACGGACCCGCCTGAAAGCGGAAGCCATCGTTGTGAAGGATGTCGATCTTGTCATGCTCGCAGGCTGGCCCTGCATGCTTACCTCAAGGCAATCCGTAACCTCAGGCTACTTATCGTTTGCCCCGCGCATGACGAAGGCTCCCACTGGGAAAGAGAGTAGCCTTCTTTCTGAGAACATCGCTGTCGCACTGACACTCGCCGTGCTTGTCACAGCTCCCGAAGCCCGAGCAGAACTCCAGCGCATCCTTTCACGCGACTAAAAAACTGTGGTGGCCCGGCGACTTCGCGACTCCGGCCTGGGGTCTGTCGATCTGCGTCCTGGGAGGGACCAGGGACTGTCCCAAGGGACAGATCGAACGGCTCCGCAAATGCTCCTCAGCTCATCAAGGCCGGCTGCCGAACTCTCGGACCCCACAAAGCTAAGGAACCGGCCCAAAACAGAAGGTCGAAAGCAATCAGGTAAGAGCAGTGCAAAGTCAGAACTGCGTTGAGTTCCTACGAGCATCTCAGACCAGCATTGCCAAACGCGCATCCAATTTACCGTTTACCCGGACCTCACTCGCAAACTTGCGCATGTTGAGCAGACGAAGGATGCCACCTTCGGGACCTTAACCAATCACTTACGTGCTGTTGTCAAGTGCCGCATGTTGTCATGCTAGCTGCACCATCTTCGATCACGGCCTAGCCCCTTCGCCGTGGCGTAATGGTTTCCAACACTGTCCTGGCATGCCTACCATGCCATCCACTTAGTGCTTTGGCAGAACGGCCTCAAGCCAATGCGTGAAGGTAGAGGAATCATGGCCCCCAAAGGACCTTGGACAAGGTAGCAGGCACCCTACCCGCTACGGCGAGCGAGGGTACAACCTAGAATGATTCGAATTAAACGAAACACAATAAAAGTTATCTCACGACCCAAATTGGTTTCAGTTCAATCTAATGGAACCTGAACTGAAATGTCTGACCCAACTACAACTGTCAATCTAGCGAATAAAAGAACTGTTTCACGAACTATCTCGAAAGCAAACATAGTTGACAGCAGATTAAGCCCAAAGCATTGACACATGCAGGCACAACTGCTGGCAAGATCGGCAGAAAACAACCGAGTCTCGTGCGGTGGAAAGTCCGGATTAACTGACAAGAATAGCAAAGGATCTGATCGTTCAGCAAGACTGCGCAGTGTGACCTGGATGCCAGTATATATTCAGAGACTCATTTCGTACAACTTGCAACGACCGCTTTTGAGCCAGAAACCACGATGTCTGCCGGCCCGCCCAAGCAGCTAAACTTCACCAAGGCCGCCTTCCCAGCTCCGGAATGTTGGACACAACATACTGCCAATCTGGGCGCACTTGGCCGATGCCAACACGAACATGGTAGTCTTGTCGAGGTGACAGGACAGCACGATCCTGGAACCGCCAAGAAGAAACAAGCTTCCGTGAAACGAAGCTACCCGTGCTCGTCCGCCTTGTTGCTGTCGGAGCTGTCGGCAGAAATCAGCAGAAACAGAAAACCTGCCGAGACAATGCTCAACATCTACAGTGACGTATATTCTTTCAATAGCATTGCTACCAAAAGTGGGCGGACCGACGAAGGTCTTGGCTGCGGCGTAGTTCATCTCATTGGGCCAACCAGAACATTACACAATCTCCAAAGATGTTGCATGACGTGCAAAATCCGTTGGGTAGAAGGTTCAAAGTGTTGATACATCCAAACATGATAAACAAACGAAGAGGCTTGATCTATCAGATATCAGGCATGTTGAGCCGCTGCAGACAAGTCACGTTTGGCAACATCACCATGCGCCAAAAGGTCAATCAGCATCCGGCATGATGCGCCCTTGCGATGATTTCTTTTCCATCGAAACATCTGCGACAAGATACAATTTGATGGAAAACACGCGAAAGAATCGAAAAAATCGCCTTCTAATTTGTGTTCGGCCACAACTGCCTCACAAGCGCCTACAAACATGCTCATGCAGAAGAAACTGCGAGTTTTACGGCAAGCTCTTGTCACGATGAAAAGCGAGTTGAAAGAAGCATGTTTGTACAAGCAACCACGCTCGCTGTACAAACACACAAACTAGATTGGTGTACCGATTTGACAAAATGGAATTTTTTTGCTAGTGCGGACCTCAATGACAGCGTCAGCTGCACTTGATCCCTACGAATCCATCAAACAACAAACACACAAAAACGGCTGTGAAACAAGAGCCCCTTAAGCCCTCCCTTCAAGCTCCCCCTTGAAGCCTCCTTTGAAGTCCCCCTTAGTCTCCCTTGAAGCTCTTCTTGACTCCCTTCAAGCCTCCTTCAAGCTCTCTGACCCTTCGTCCCCCCCTCCCCTTCCCCCCTCCAAGACATAAGAGGTGACCTTTAAGCCCTCCTTGAAGCTCCTCTTCAGTTCCCCGTGTTGAAAATGTCAGAAAGCTCCGAAGCGCTGCTTCGGGCGGCTTAGAGCGCCCGCTTTTTGTCGTTTCTGCATGTCGCTAAAAGCCGCTTTGTATATTAGTTCCTGAACGGGCCTCGAAGTTTGTGAACCTGCAGCTGCTTGGAAAGGAGGGGCTTGGAAGAGGGGAAGCTTCAAGGAGGGCTTGGAAGAAGGCTCAAGGGAGGCTTGAAGGGGCTTCAAGGGGGTTAAAAAGAAAAAGACGCTGCGAGATCGCTTTGCGAGAGTCTTCACACGAGAGCAAACCAAAAATGAAAAAAAGAACAAAGTCAAACAAAACGCAATCACCAATTAAAAAAAAGAAGAAGTACACGAAAGGAAGTTAAAATGAAAAGAACAACAATCAGACCAAGCAGCGAACATCCGAGTCGAACTCTTTCGATCAAAATAGAACTTCCATGCCCTCCAAGATTTGGTCACACGGCTCCGTGAAACATTTCTTTACTTTTTCAACTTCAGTTTCGGCTGGTAAACAAGCAGCTTTTTTGAAGAGGGAGAACTCTTGGACGTGTGACTGCCTGGCTGCGAAAATCACATCAGTGTGGAAACGAATTCAAACAAACGAATTTGGCGTATTGGACTCTAACCACACAAAGATTTACAGAGTAAATCTTGTGGGATATAAACATACCACTGAGGATCCTTAAAGGATTCCTCAAAGGACAAAGCAAGTACACTTTGAGATCGAAGATTCT